TCATGCAGTTATAAACAAACTGCACGTGATGCTACTACTCTACGATGCATCGACATGGGATGAGATATGACACGTCGATACGTTAATTCTAAAAAACGTTATATTTCGACACGTTGAGACACATTTTGATATTAAATAAAAATTTTAATATATATAATATAATTTATAATTAATACATATAAGAGTCCATAATAAGTCATATAACCATCAAATATTTAAATTTTATAACATAAATATAAATAAAAATAATTATTTGTACTTAGTTAATTTTTCATGTCAAATTTCATAACAGAAAAAAAGTAATTTATTAACTATTTTTTTTAATATTTAGTTAATAAAATAAAATTAAGATTAAAAAAAATGTGTCGGAACCTTGATCGCGTGTCGGAAAAAGTTGATTGCGTGTCGAAAAAACATGCCGAAATGTGTCAGAGAGTTGATCACGTGTTTCTAAATATTAACTGCGTGTCGGAGCATGCCCGTATCAAACATGTGTCTGTGCTTGTTAGCTGCTACGTACTCATCAACCTGTTCAACTAAATAAACTAATTTCGCTCTTAATATTTTATCACGTACTAAAATCAGAAAAGATTTCATGTATTATATATATGAGTAATTTTAAACTTAGATGTAATAGAAAAAACAAATAAATAAATTAAGAAAAAAATTTAAATTATAAAAGAGATATATATATAATTAATTCAGGTAAATTTGAAAAAAAAATGAATTAACAAATATTTAAATTATAAAAGAAGACATGCATATTGCTTAAAAAAAATTTGAAATAAATTTTAAAGAAAAGAAGTTAAGATATTTAATCACTCTAAAAAAATCAACGCTAATTTAATTCATAAAAATAAATTACTTTAAATTGCTAAATTTCTTTGTAATTTCAAATAACCTATGGTTGATTAAGTCGAAATTTGAAATACTTAATATTATTACTTGCTTGTTCATGTATATATTATTATAGTATATAGACGAATGTGAGTAATTCATTTCTTAATAAAGTGTTAATTATATAAAAATAAACCTCCCCTATAATTTATCATAAATATATCGTAATTTGTCACAAATATATCATATAATCTATCTTATAAAATATGTCTTATAAAAAAAATCTATAATAATTTATACAATTTGTTTTTATATTTACAACAATTTTCCTCAAGTTGGGGAATTAATATCTGACATCCCCATCAGTAAAATTTTTAAATCTCTGAATGAACAGTTCCTTAGTTAATACATCTGCTACCTAATATCCTGAAGGAACAAATTATACGGTTATTTGACCATAGTCCAACTTCTTCTCGATGAAGTCTCTGTTAATCTCAATATGTTTTGTCATATCATGTTGAATTGTATTAATTATATGCAATGTCAATGACTGATGTGTTGTCACATATAATTTCATATTTTATTCTATTATTCTAAGGTCATCTAATAGGATCTTCACCCATTATATCACTCTAATTCCTCGTGTCATAGCTCAAAACTCAGTCACTGCATTTAACAGAGCAGCCATTTTTTTTTTCACTCCTCCAAGCTAATAGGTTAATTTGCACCCAAAAAATACAATAACTAAATGCTGATCTTCTACCTGTAAATGAACCTTCATAATCATCATTTGTATATACACCATGCATAGATATCCACCTTTCATAATTAAGAACATTTCTAAGTGCAAATTGTTAGTATATAGGTGTCCTAGAGACAATCTGTTTTATCATATGAACACCTTTTTCTATTTGGTATATCATGATTAATAAATTTGAGCAAACTTTATCTTTATCATATTTATGTCTCGCCAATATTTTATTGTTAATATGCGTTTAAAGATAAAGACCCTAGGAATAGAGCAGGTGTTCACTCGGGGATCTATGATAGGGATCATGATCATGAGGACTCGAGGACACTGAATGTCTATTACCTAAAATCTGTTCCTGGTCTTGAATCACCAAGAAAGGGTATTGGTGATCTCAATAAGACTAGTACGACATCATCAACTTGTATGGAGATACAAGGTAATGACCTCATGGAATGCAGGCATGCTGATGCCTTAGCTGATGTCGTGGGTGGATCTGTTGGAGAACATATAGCACTGAACTGACCCGCTTAGAGACTCCACAAGGATTCATTACAGAGAGTATCATTGGATTTGAAAAGTCTCTGAATGTTTGGTAGTGCAGATCGTCCTATACTTTAGGATGTCATCGAATACTATGTCCTAGAGTTATACTTTGACTGTACAACTCTATCCGCCTGAAAAATGGGCAGAACAGTGTACTCTTGGGTATAACTCGAATACATGAGTATAGATGGACATGCCGAAAGGACTCACAATCCCCTATAAGGGATTAGTCGTTCACAAAGACCGGTAGGGCTGAGATGACTTCTATTTGACTCTGGAATCTATGCATAGTAAGAGATCATGAAGAGTCATGATCTGTCTTAGAGTCAATAGAAGAAGATTCCTAGTTCCTGTGAAATATTATATTTAGTCAATAAAGAGAGAAGATACTATATCCTTCTCTCGACTAAATGTGAATGACGATGTGAGGGATAATGCTGGCACGGTATCCAAATCAGAAAGGTAGATCACTTGATTAACTCAATTAGTTCTGGGGCTACAGAGCATTGCTAGTGTATCATGTAGTCATTAAATGAATTGGGCCTTTTAAAGGAGTTTAACTGGTTCAAGTTTATTTATGTCAGTAACTAATTGGGCCTAATGGGTCACACACAAAGGTTATTCCTTATTGCAAGTTATAGCAAGTTTGGACCAATAATGAATTATTGGGCTTTGTCAAGACTATGAGTCAAGTTGGGTTGGAGTAGGGACTCCAAGTCCACTTGATCCATGCGCCCTTTTGGGGCATTAGTGGTGAAAGAGTTTTCTCCACTAATGAGCCCAAATATGATGATAGGCCAAAGAGGCCTTGGGGCATGAATCCTAGTAAATCAAAGAGTTGACTTGACCAAAATAAGGTTTGGGAAATTTTGAAATTTGAATTTTGAAATTTAAATTTTTAAATTTTGAATTTTGAAATTTGAAATTTGAAATTTGAATTTGAATTTGAAATTCGAAATTCGAATTCGAATTACGAACTTGGATAAGATTGAATTTATATTTGAGTTTAAATTTCAAATTGAAATTTGAATTTGGATTTTAAATTCTATGAGGTTAGGTTGTTGAGAATAATTTAAAATTATTAAAGGAATAATCCAATAGAGATTGGATTCTCTCAACTATTCTTTCATTTGAATTTGGAATTTAAATGAATACCGTTGCAACAAAATTTCTGAGGAAAGGAAAGGTATTAAAGGGGCGCATAATTAAAGGGAGTGAATCAAGGAACGTCCCTCTCATCATTCAATATGTGCGCCTAATTAAAGGGAGCTGATGTGGGGCGCATAATGAGATTGAGAGAATCAAGGAAAGTCTCTCTCATCACTTTAACTTGTGCGCCTAATCATAGGAGGGGCTTATGTGGTTGATCAATTTTTTTTATAAAAACCTGATGCATCATCTCTCCTATGTGTGTGTAGAATTCGAAAAAGAAAAAGCTCCAACATTTCCTTCTCTCTCTTGTTGCACCATCACCTAACCTCAAGACACCATTATAGTCTTGAGAAAATAATCCAAACACTTGGTAGCCTCTTCCTTGCATGCGCCTAGCCAGCCACCGAGAATAAGGAGGGATCAAGGAGAAAGAGTTCTCGCTAGCAAGAAGGAGATAACCGTGTGGATTACCATTGGAGGGCGTCATCCTTTTGCACCTACAAGTGAAAAGGTAATTCTAAAACCCTATTTCGTTTCAACGTAAAGCATTCATACATGGGGTGTATAGATGTTCTATGCTTCCGCTGCGAATTTTTTTTTGTTTTCCACCCATGTATGCGCACCATAGTATGACTATGGTGCAGTCTTTCGAACCTGCACAAATTTAAGGTTTTGTAAAATTCGGTTTGTTAAGACCTAACAGGCTCACACACACAATCACAATTAAAAAGAGAGAAGGGAAGAAAAGTGAAGACACCTATTATCTCGGTTCACCCAATGTGGGCTAGATCCCGCAATATGCACTTTATTCTTCTCACCACACTGATTACAAGTTACTTAATTTACATGAGAAATATAAATAAGCTTACCAACCCTAAGCAACAATAATTATTTATGGATATAAGTCCAAACTATTAAGGAAAGAAAAATAAAATAAGATTAAGACAGGTGCACAATAGTATCAGACTTCCGCAGGCTTGGGGTGCTACCCCGGCCCTAGCCTCTGCCGAGGCGGCTCCCTTGGACCCTCGGCCTGCTCACTAAGGAGTTATATTTTCATTTGCTTTCTTTGCATCTCGTTAACACATAAGTCGTTATCTGAATGCAAAGTATGAAATGACTGTTCACACCTATAAATTAAATGTCTTACCCTTGGATATTGCATATAATGAAATTAAAAGTAGCTTTAATTTGCTAGTTGTGGTTACCCACCAACCTGTGAGTTATGTGTATCATCTACACGAACTGCATTATATGTAAAATACACATTTCCTATTAATGAATTGTCAATTCGTCATTGTCATTCTCTGTAATAAAATATCGTTTTCCATTCGCTTTAGTATCCAAAACATTCGCAAATGGAACCCAACTAGGCGCCACCATTTGTAACAAAAGTCACCACTCAGTTACCCCGCGACATCCCCACGGATTTCTTCACTCCAAAACACGCATATATATATGTACTCTTAAAATCTTTACTAGATCTCTTAATATATAAAAACCCTTATCACCTCTTCTTTCTTCATGTGTTTGCCAGCAAGAATAGAAACAAAGGTACTCACGTTAAATCCACTATACCATATACCAAACAGTCTCAGTATATAACCTCATCTTCGATATGGTACTGTAAATGTAAACACTAAAGACCACCAAGTAAACTATAGCTACAAACCTTGTCCTATATGAAAACCTTCTTCTCCCAAACACCACCAACGGCATGACGTCATCATCTTCTTCTTCCAAGAGGCACCCGGTGTACCATGGAATCCGGTGCCGGGGAGAAAAATGGGTGACCGAAATCCGGGAGCCACGTAAGACAACCCGCATATGGCTTGGCACATTCCTAACACCGGAGATGGCGGCTGCCGCCTATGACGTGGCGGCATTGGCGCTGAAAGGCGGGGAAGCCGTTCTCAACTTCCCTGACTCAGTTAGCAAGTATCCGGTGCCCGCATCGAAATCTCCTGCTGACATCCGCATCGCTGCCAATGCTGCAGCGGAACTAGTAAAGGCTGAAGCTAACCACAATAATGCATCATCAACTAATGTAGTTGAACCTGATGGTGTTTCTGATATTACTCCATTGTCTGAAACTGAGTTTCTGGATGAGGAAGCCTTGTTTTTCATGCCAAGTTTATTGGTAGAAATGGCTGAGGGAATGCTACTGTCCCCACCAAGAATGAGCCCACCACCGTCACCTGGGAATTATGGTGGAGAAAGTTTGTGGAACTATTTTTGATCCATCTATATATATAAGCTCCCCTTCAGCATCTATATAATTCTCTATCCTAAAAACCAATTAATAAATTAACTTTTTTTTTTTAGTTCACACAACCTTAATTATCTCTTGAGGCGAGTTGACTTCATCATGTATTTCTACAAGTTTCAACTCTTAAAGTACGAGGAGACAGGTCAGGAATGGAATGAGAAGATATTTAAATCACTACCAAAAGTGGCAAGTGCAGATTGAGCTGAAGTCTTTCCTTTCTATTTACTCAACTCTGTTGCTAGCTACCACCGTTTGGTACCAATAAATTAACTTAATTATATAGTTTGTAGTTAATTTATATAAATTAAATTGAGAACGAGGGGTAAAACTGCGATAGCAAGCGCTGCTTTATTCTGAGACCATGTATCTTGCTATTTTACAATATATGTATTTCGAAGCTTGTGAGTATTTGGCCTGGCTTGGTTGCATTCGTGTCATATTCTTTTTTCTTTTTTATTTAATGTGTGCATTCGTATCAGAATTTTAGTTTACTCTTTTTCCTCTTCTTTTTATGGTATATGCATCATTTGCTGTTCAAGATTATCAATACCAGCAAAAAAGAGGGAGACAAAAAGTCGCAGCTTGAGATTTAATTAAAACATCATGACAATGGACATGCATAAAGGATAAATAAACAAATATTTATGTTATTTGAGAATTGTTTTTATATTTATATTTTTAGATAATAAAATAAAAGATGAGTTTGTTTTTTCTAAAGTTACTTTAGATAACTTTATCTAATGTTCACCAAAATGACGTCGTTTTAGGACGGAAATCATGGTTGTTTTGTAATTTTAATTTATTTCAGGGATATAATTGTCTTTATCATTCTAATTTTTTAATTTTTCAACCCCAAAACGACGTCGTTTCGATGAACATTAGACAAAGTTATCTAAAGTAACATCAGATACTTTTCCCCCATAAAAGATACATATTTAAATACATTCTCAGTATCTTTGGTTCCTAAACACAAGTGGTTTAACTAAGGACTATTGGTTATAGAAATAAGGAGTTTATTCTTTTCAAGTAAGGTCTTGAATTCGAGTATTATGAATAGTGTTGGGAGAATTTAACCCCTTATATATGTAGCACGTCCTATTTTAGCCGGTATTTATCCAAACTATCAAAAGATTTATAAAAATAAGTGGAGTAACAAAATATATAAAAAGTACGTGCAAGAATCATTTGTCATTATGAATGAATAACATTATTGCTGTGCGGAAATTAAGATTATAATTAGGCTGAAAAACATCGGTGGTCCCATTACAAAAACAAAATCGGAGAAGATATAATTAATTTAGAATTTGAGTCAACATTTAGACATGATATTACTTGATTAACACTTCCACTGTTTAATTGTCCGAGTTGCAATCATGGGGGTGGCTCTTCTCCCTTTTCTTTTGAAGTCATGCGGTTACAACTGAATCAATAATAAACAGTAGAAAATAAAATAAAATATAAAACACCAAACCTAACCTAAATTGATATGTGATGTTAAGACGGTTTTTAAAAGGTATTCAGGTTTCACTTTATCCAAACCAAACCTAAATTGATATTACAGGAATGGTGTAAAAAGGCGCATTCCATGTTTGTTCTATTTTTGCAGTTCTTTCGATTTCCGTTTCCATCAACACCTATATGTAAGGGGGAAAACTAGCCAAGAATGAAGTGAACAGTGCTTTTTTAATAATGTAAGTGTGGAATTGGGGGCGTTTGGTACTTCGTTATTTTTTTGGATTTCTGGAAAACTAACAGTGAAAAAATGATTTACCTATGTTTAGTGTATGGATTGGAATTTTTTTTTCTGAAAAATCAAATTTCCGGGATTTAAAATTATGAAGCAAAATTTCATTCCAAAATACAACCGGATAGGTGGTATTCTTGAAATCTCATCCGATAAAAAAATGCACCAGATTTTTTGGGACAAAAATACCGTTCTTCTTCGTACTGTGTTCCTCTTTTCATTCTCTCTCCTTTCCACCTACAATGACCATCATCAACGAACGTGCTATGTCCTGAGCCACATTCGAACTCAACCCACTAGAGAACCACAACAATAACACACCAACAAGTCTTGACACGTGCTAAAATGCTTCTTAAAGTGCAAAACATCCGGGAACCTACAAGTTTATAGAATTATCCACCAGCGAATGTAGCAAATTATACCCCAAAAAATTGTTCAACACAAAGGGATCCAAAGAAAATATGTCAGGATTTGAATTAAACAAAAATAGCCAATCATTTTTCATTTCTCAGCAAACCACAAGATCACAGAAGGAGAGGGATAAAGCTAGCTTTTTTGGCACTATTTCTCTGCAATTTTTGGCACCAAACTTTCTTCATCGTTCTTTGACTCCTTAACGGCACCGCCGAGATTTTTGGCACTAAGCTTCCCCCTGAAATCTGACTCAATTTTCCTCACATGCTCAAGTTTGCTGTAACTTCTTCTTTTTTTCATTTCTCTGCAGTTGTAGTTGGAGCCATTAATTAACTTTGTAGCATTGTGAAAGTTGAAGCCTTGTTCTAGTCTCACTTATCTTTTTATTAATGAATATACCCTATGCGGTGTTACTGTTAATGGTTTTAATTTTAATATAGTTCTCATCTGTATTCCAGTGTGGCTTTTGGTTGCCAGCGTTTTCTCTCTGTGTGTCTGTGTGTTGAATGAGAGTGAGCGAGAGAGAGAGTGAGCGAGAGAGAGAGTTGAGAGTGATAAGGCTATTTTTGTAAAATCACCCCACATTCCCAGTAATATTTGACAATCAACCAAACATAGAATTAGTAGTCTTGAACTGATATTTCATGTAATATTTTGGTGTACCAAACAACTTTTTGATCACATTCTCGGGAAACTCACTTTTCCAACATATTCATGTGAATCATAATTCCCGGGCACACAAAAATTTCTCCACTACCAAATGCTCCTTAAGAATAATGTTAGTTATGCACAACATAACGAACAACTCAAATATAGAAAACTTTGCCTCATTGATATGGATGAAAAAAATATAGAAGAGAGAATGAAAAAGAAATGAATGGTACATGGTGTTTTTTTATCCATATTGTGAAAATGATAATTATGTAAGAAGCTTTTTGATAAGTGTCAAAGACACTATGTTTTTAATGTCAAAAATAGTTCAAATAATAATTAATATGATTAAAAATATAGTGTTAATAAATAAAATCTTAAACAATATTAAAATGCCAACAAATAGCTAAGATTCTAATCCTTTTTATTGTTTCAAGTTGTTTTATACTAGAAAGAAGAAATCACTAATCTGATAAGGAGAAGGCATTTGGCACTGGCTGAAGAAAAATAAAAAATAAGAAAATAAAGAATTAAAAAAAATGAATTCTTCCTCGTTCTGCTGCTCGCTTCAGCGAGAAGTGAGCGAGAAGCTCGCTTCAGCGAGCACAACAATGAGGAAAGGAAAATAGCCCGCTAAGCAGCTCGCTTCAGCGAGCTCCTTAGCGAGCTGGCCCAAAATCTGAGGTTGTGAAAAAAGAATTCAGAAGACAGAAAAAGGGAGAACTCGGAGACGAAGGCAGAAGGCAGAACCAGAGGAGAAATTCTGGAGCGGAATTTCAGAGGAGAAGAAGGAGATAAAAGCTTCATCAATTAATCATCATTAATCAAGTTTTATCATGAACTCTCTTTATTTTTCATCATCTTTTTATTCTGATTTTATGAACATGTGAGGCTAAGTTCATTTATGTAGTTAGGATTATGGATCCGATGTGAATCCTAGTTATGGTTTAGTTTGGTTTCTTTAATAAATTATTTTAGTTATTTGTGTTTTACCTTGCATGAATTTCCATATCCTTGTATGAATTGATCACTCTTATAGGGATTTGAGGATTATGACTCGCAATAGACATATTGGAATTTTAGTCCTAACAAAGGTAAAGTATCAATTCTTGCATGATCTAGACATAGGCTTGCTTGAGTTGTAGACTTTATAATTCATTGTGCCTAATGCTTATTCTAAAAGGGATTACTAAGACATTAAGATTCTAATTAGAGTAAAGGGTTAAAGTCATTAAGACATTAGGATTTAACCAACTAATTTTTAGAAGATGAATTGTCTGAAATATCTGAGATAATTTAATATTGAAATTAATTTAAATTACTCTAGGAGGATCTGAGGTGAAATAATTCCTAACTGCAGTTTCCGTCTTTGATATTCTAAACTCAATTTTCAATTCTCGCATTCTTGAATATTCTTGATATTTACTGCAATTAATTTTCATTTTATTTTAATTCAAAAATTATTCTCAACAACCAAATCAAATTATCCAAATTAAAGGGAATAGTTATAATAGTACTTGACGCATTAATCCTCGTGGGACGATATTCTTTCTCATTACTTTATTACTTGAAATGAACAGTATACTTACCGTAATCGCAACACTTTTCATGTATTTGAGTGATATTATGTTCTTTAAAACCTTTGAAGTATAGAGAGGCGAGTAAAAAAGTAATTTAAAAATGGAATTTACATGTTTTTCTTTAAATCGAATTTACGAAATAAATATAACATTCAAGATTTATATTTTTATATTGCAAAATAATTTAGAAAAAATTCTGAATTTACTAATAATTACTCTCGTAATTGTCTTATAAATGATTCTTACTTATATTAAAATGCACCAAGCATGTACTTTGAAAATAATATATCTTTTTTGGATACCAACCCTAATTACTTCTTTGAGGTGAGTAAACTTCCCCCATATCCCCCAAGAGTGTATATTTTCAAATTAATTCTTGAATAACAAGTTATAGATTTATGAAATATCATTTCCTTAAATTTTGCATTGGTAATTATCATTTGCATTAATTACGTGCATCAAGTGGATGATATTTTGTTTGTATTAAGTTAGAATTAAAGACAAATATATGTGTGGTAAATAGAAAAATATAATCAATCAGGAGATTAACAATTGAGTTTACAATAAAAGAAAATAATACG